AAAAAATAGAAAAGTTACGGCTATATCCATTATATTGGTCATTTCACGTGTTGCACGTGCCCGCTCTTGCAAGCACGTGCGCGCAAAATGGCATGTTGACAATGTCATTTTATCTACATTTATAATATGTCTATATATTCTAAATATCAAAGCATTACATTAAAAAATGTTAAAGTTACGGCAATTTCAAGTATATTGGTCATTTCACGTGTTGCACGTGCGCGCTCTTGCAAGCACGTGCGTGCAAAATGACCTTCGTTCCGCAAATCTACATAACATGCCTACTTATCCTAAAAAGGTTTCCCCTTAGTCGGATGTGTACTTTACAAGATCATTCGCGGACAAAATTTTCCCAAGAAGAAAAATAATAATAATAAGAAACAGAGTAAAAACAATATGTTCCCCAACTTCGTTTGGGGAACATAATAACTAGTGCTAATTGTAACGGGGACCGTTACAGATGTTCCCCAAACGCTCCCCAACTCCCTTTTGGTGCCATATTCCCTGTAATCTCTATTTAATGAGAAATACTTTATGAAATTTAGACTTAATCAAGGTCTTCCCAGAAAAATACAAAATATATTTAAAAATAGGCATTGCAAGCGTGTTCATGTGCGTAACGACCATATTATCTTGTCTACAATATCTAAAATATTAATATACTTCATATCAAAGCATTTAATCCAAAAGTTTTAAAAAATACACTCATTCGAGTGTATTTTTAATTTTACTCATTTCACGTGCATGCACGTGCATAATGACTATACCTTCTTGTAGGAGTCCCTTATATTTATCTATGTTCTAAATCCCATCCTGTTTGGTTGAAAAACAAGGGAGTTATAGCCATTTGAAGTTTCAGCCAATCAGATTGCAGCACACATGCATGCGCGTGATTTCATAAATTTTTATCTTTATCGTATTGAAGGATATTTAAATGAATGACTATATTTTAAAAGTCCAACATTTCATCGAAAACAAAGGAGATATAGCCATATAAAGATTCAGCCAATCAGATTGCAGCACACGTGCATGCGCGTGATTTCATGAATTTTTTTCTATATCATATTTTAGGATATCCTAATGCATGACTATGTTTTAAATTTCAAAGCATTTCGTCAAAAAACAAAGGAGATATAGCCATTTAAAGTTTCAGCCAATCAGATTGCAGCTCGCGCGCATGCGCATGCTTTCATGAAAATTTTTATATATCATGCTGTAGACCTTCATAATGTTGGACTATGTTCAAAATTTCAAAAGATTATGACAAGAAACAAGAAAGATATTGATAATTTAGTTTCAGCCAATCAGAGCGAAGCGCACGTGCATGCGCGTGAGATCTTGCTATTTTGACCATGCCATCTAGTCTATACTACTAATGTATCCTTATATTATGAGTTTCAAAAAAATTCATCAAAAAAAAGAAAAGTTACAGCAATATCCATTATATTGGTCATTTCATGTGTTGCACGTGCGCGCTCTTGCAAGCACGTGCGCGCAAAATGACCTTCGTTTGGCAAATCTACATAACATGTCTACTGAACCTAAAAACATTTTACCTTAGTCAGATGTATAGTTTACAAGATCACTCGTGGACAAAATTTTCCCAGGAAGAAGAAAAATAATAATAATAATAATAATAATAATAATAATAATAAGAAACAGAGTAAAAACAATATGTTCCCCAACTTCGTTTGGGGAACATAATAAGAAACAGAGTAAAAACAATATGTTCCCAAACTCCGTTTGGGGAACATAAATAGGAGCAGATCGAGCAAACACGGATCTCAAAAACATCAGAGGTGGGATCAGGTGCCATGGAGGAGTGAGCATCCCCTGTCGACCGGTTACACCCACCGTGTGCTCCTTGTCATGCTCGGGAAATAAAAGGAAAAAATCCGTCAATTCAGTGTATAAATAATGGACTAACAATGAGTATGAAAAACGTCAGCCAGCATTTGATTCAATGATAAACTGTATTTGCTGACAGGATCATAGTATCAACCATAGAACTTACGAAATGATGACTTTAAACGAGACTGCTGATAGTCTTGTTTCATCAACTTGTTTGTCAATAATTTACCTCATTTTAGAAATCGTTCATACGTAGAGCATGCTCTAGTGTATTGAATCAACTGAGATATGTAAACTCCTTATGCAGGTGATGAAGGTATATTGCTGCTTAGGTAATAGAAGTTGACGATAGAAAAGTTAAGTCATCAAGCTTATCATAGAGCTTGGTTGATAGATTACCATTAGTGTCTTTTTCAAGTAAAATATCGAAGTATGAAACAGATGTGTCAGACTCTGTGGTATCTTTTATCTCAAGCTCACCAGGATATATCGTATCGACATAGGAATGTAATTACCTTTTTTAATTGACAACATGTCGTCGATATATCTAAATGTCGAGTTGAAGGCCACAGAAAGTGTTTTCTTCTTTTCACGCACAAGATTTTGCATAAATTCTGCTTTATATGAATACAAAAATAAATCTGCTTATAACAGAGCGCAATTGGTACCCATGGAAATTCCAATAGATTGTTGGAGGACCTGGTCTTAAAATTAATTTATTGATTGACAGGGTCACGTGAGCCAATGAAATAACTCCGATTAATATCCTAGGACGCGCCGCCATTTTGCCCGACAAGTTGTCAATATTGCAATATTGTCGGTCATCCAAGATTTCGAATGAATCATGGTAAAACATTGTTGCTGGGGAAAATGCAATACAGACAGTAGGTATCCTGATCGTCTCGTAGGAGGGATAACATTTATTCCATTTCCTAAGCCAGGTCGGAACTTGGAAAAAGCGAGGAGGTGGATAAGGTTGTGTGGCAGGCCACACAATCAGTTGAACGAAAACATCCTCAACGAGAGAAGTAAAGCAAAACATCTATATGTTTGTTCAAAGGTAAATGTGAAAAATCCCCACACCTTTAATTATCTCAATATTAATGTGATCGTGCATACTATTAGTATCACATTACAGGAGTCAGCAGTTGTATAAATCAGCTGTAAATAGCGACAGACTCTCTACCTGTCTACAGTCGCGAAGCTTACGTGTTATTGTTTACATTGTTTTACTGATAAATCTACTGACTCTTGTGATCGCACACAGGAATCAAGACAGAGTATACCCATGTACCCGCTATTATGTTCATGTAGGCCTTCTGGTTTCATATGTAAACAATGTAAACAACTTGTAACTCAATGGTTGTCAGCCCTATTTATCATGCATGATACTACCGACTTCTGTGCACATGTATGCAGTTAGTGTATACAATATTTCCTATTACAGTTTAAAGCTCATAAATAATTTATCAAAGTAGAGTATATTACATATATGTGATCAGGTCCAGTATATAGCTTGATAAAGCTATATAGCTTTATCAAGGTATTTAAAATACCTTGATCAAGGTATTTTATGTAATGAAAATTCAAAAATAATCTTTAAAAATTAAATTCTTTAAAGTCAGAGTTCTGATTTCTTGACAGTGTGTATTTCTATTCGTTTAGTGCTGAAAACACTTTACCGAATACTGTCATTTTATTTGGTATATGTAATGATTTAAGAGAACATTGAAAGTAACGTACTCCTCTTATGTACACGTTTTTATACTGATTTGTTTGTGTTTAGTACTTTACATGCAAAAGAAGAAATTTCATTGTGTATCCAGACACTTGACAACAACTCAAAACTCGACTTTCAGTAATTAATTTAAAATTTTTTTTTTGAATTTTCATTACATAAAATACCTTGATCAAGGTATTTTAAATACCTTGATAAAGCTATATAGCTTTATCAAGCTATATACCTTTATCGGGGTATTGTGCTGGACCTGGTGATTGTGCTGACCCTTGGCTACATTAGATCTATAACTATATATCCAAAAAGATTAGATGGGTCAGCGTTTTAATTTTAAGATGTTTTTGTCATATAAAACAACACTTGACAGATAAAACTGTCACTATTACAAGTGTAGAGATCACAAGTTGCCTGCAAACATTAATCACCTCTTTAACTTTCTAATGACAATATGATTTAATAAAATTGGTATATGTATATCGCTAAATTTACTGTTACTTTTTTATAGCATTTTGTTGATGGGATGCCCTCCGAAAGATACCCAGATCCAGTGTCGGCACTTGCCACCGGTTATGACTTACTAACACCAAGGCGTAAACCACCAACCAAAAGACTGCATATTAAATCAAGCAACGCTTCTCATGGTTCATCAATGCGAAAAATTCTGGCAGACACATCTGCTGTTGAGTAAGTTTTAAATTGTGTATGAGTACTATTATGTATATTTCACGCTTTTTGTTCCAAGTTTTCCTTGAAAGTCATGCTTTTAAATGATTTCATTGTTTCAATTTAAAGGAATGTGAACATAATGAATGATATGAGCAGTAGTACTATGCCACCGCCCTTGGAACCCTCAGTTCAGCCTCAGTGTAGTTCAGCTATGGAAACCACATCAGATTATAATTCAGGTAATATCTTTATATATGAGGCCAAAATAAAATTACAGTTTGTTTGGAATTTGCCTCCCGCCTCAATGAAATGCCCCCTTCTGAAAAAAAAAAATATTGGCCAAAAGTAGGAAGATTTTTTTTTATTTAATCAACTTTTTTTTGCCCATTACATGTATCATATGCACCATATGACAAAACACTGAAATTATAAGTGTCTCATGGTTCTCTAAAAATTCTGGCAGACACATCTGTAAAATTTTAAATTGTTTATAAGTTTTATGTACATTTCATGCTTTTTGTTCCAAGTTTTCCTTGAAAGTCATGCTTTTAAATGATTTCACTGTTTCAATAAAGGAATGTGAACATAATGAAAATGTGCATTTACTGTTTCAGTGTAGTTCAGAGATTTTTTCAGGTAATATCTTTATATATGAGGCCAAAAAAAATTTTTGTTTGGATCTTCAAAATTCCTGAAAAAAAAAAAAAAAAGTAGGAAGATATTTTTTATTTAGTCAACTTTTTTTTTTGCCCATTACATGTATCATATGCACCATACAAAACACTGAAATATAGTGTCAGCTCTATGTAAAATTAGGGTTTTTGTTGATGGTAGATACTTTTTATAAAAGTCAGAAAATGCATTTACTGTTTACAGAGATTTTTATCAAAAATTTATCTTCAATTTCAAAAAAAAAAAAAAAAAAATTTCCCGCCCTCCCTCCTGTGTCTTAAACCCTTCAGGCGGCAATTCCAAACAAACAATTTTTTAAGGATGGCCTGAGAGTTTGTTTTGTATTATGCTTGGCACCATCTAAAATCAAAATATACAGTATAATAATGTTGTTTATTTCATATAAAAAATATTAACATGTTTGTACATAAAACATCAAACAAAACCTGACAATCTTAACTATCAGAATCAGTTTTGCATAAATGGCTTAAAGTGATTTACATAAAACGCGCTCAATTTTTGGACCAAGGCATCCATGGTAGGTGTGTGGGGAAAAATTCTTTCGACATAAAAGTCTTGCTTGGTGTAAGTAATAAAGTCACAAAACGCGGCCCCAGATACAAGCAGTTGACCCTGAACTTGATACCAGTGAGCATGCTCATGTTTTAAAGAATACAAATCACCATTTTTTTGGAGGAAAAAATCTTTCCTTGTCTCACAAGCTTCACAAATAGACATGTCTCTGACAGAATACGGGCACTTAATTTCAATTATTGCTGTTGTTGATTCCTCACACATTATACCATCAGGTGTCGCACCAAGAAAAGGCAAATCTGGGTTAACAATCAAGCCTACGTCATGAAGGTGATTTCCTGTTTTTCTTAAATACATCTGTTTCGCAATGTGTTCATTCGCTTTCCCATAGGATGTAGATGATGATGTAAACTCTCTTTTCTGAAAGGTGTTTTTCAAGAATGTCTCATTTATATCCTTTTTCCTTTTCATTATGAGTCCAAAGTTGGAAGCAGTAATCCTTTTTTTTCGTTCGATATGCCATCTCTCATCAAAACTTTGAGAGCGAGTTGATTTTTCTAACTCAGTTGCTTCACTCAAAGTTAAATTCAGTTCTTTCCACTCATGAGCAAGTTGTTGAATATTCTGGAGATCAGAAGGTAAGGCCTTGGGAAATACTGTATCTCCACAACTCCATGCAGTTCGGGGTTTTGTGATTGGCTGAATGAGTGGTGCCTGAAAAAAAATATGAATATCAATAAAATAGCAAAATACCACTGCATGTACATATAGATTGAAAACCTATTAAAATACATGTATTGGATTTAGCTTGTACAAAATAAATGTACTGATTTACATTTTAGAACAAAGCTAGGTTTATTAAAATAAATACACATCATAAAAATACATGTTTGGTTTTTTTTTTGCAGGTAGTACATGTTATCCACTGAACCTTTTGGCTGTTGTTGCAGAAAATAGGGCATTAGTGGAAGAGAAAGAAAAGCTGATTCAAAACAATGCTGAAATTGAACAACAACTATTACAACTCCAAAAATTGCAGGAAAGGTGTTTTGGGTGTCACAAACTCAAGGAAAAGGATTACAAGTATTACACGGGATTTTCTAAGGATCAGTTTGATAGTGTTTACAAGTTTTTAGCTCCAACAGATGAAGATCCTATTAAGTGGGGTAAAACAGTAAAAGGAGCCAAATCCCTTTCAACCATAGACCAACTTCTTCTTGTTTTGATTAAACTCAGACAAAACTTTGATTATAAACATATTTCACATTTGTTCAATGTATCTTCACAAGACTCTAGTGCAATATTTACTCACTGGATCAACTATATGTTTTTTAGACTTGGTAGTTTAGATATTTGGCCACATCGAAATATTTTAATAGAAAATATGCCAGAAAGTTACAAGAAAGACTTTCCAAATACCCTTGCTATCATTGACTGTACAGAGCTAAAGGTACAAAAACCAAGTTCTCTTCATCGTCAAAGCCAGTGCTATTCCGATTACAAGTCAAGTACAACTTTGAAGGGACTGGTTGGCATTGATCCAAGAGGTTCTGTGATATTTTCCTCTATGTTGTTCTCTGGGTCAATATCTGATAAAGACATCACAGAAGAAAGTGGTTTTCTTAAACTTCTCTCAGACCTTATAAAGTGTGGAAAGCTGCAGAATGGCGACGGAATAATGGTTGACAAAGGTTTCCACATAGAGAAAGAGATTGAAGCTGTGGGACTCAAACTTAATATACCACCGTTTGCATCTTGTGCATCACAGATGAAAGCTTCTGAAGTTACAGAAACTGTTAAAATAGCTAAACATCGCGTTCATGTAGAGCGAGCTATTGCTCGTATAAAGCAATTTAAGATCCTGTCAGGGAAAATTAGTTTGTCTTTTTTCAGTATCATTGATCAAATATGGTTAACTTGTTGTTTATTGACAAACTTCATGAATTTTTTGATTCAAGATAAAAACACAGATTAACCTTGCTTTTTGTCCTTGCTTTCTTTTAAGGTTTACATGTATAATTCATAGGCGCTCCCCATGTAATTCTTTAAATGACGTATGATAAGTATATATATATAGCAGATATAGATCTACCCCTCTATACTATACAATCAAGTAGTATAGAGGGGAAGACCTATATACATGTATATACCCAGTACTTATTATACGTCATTTACAGAATTACATGGGGAGCGCCTATGGTATAATTTATACAATAAAGTATAAAGTGGATATGAAATATACTTACATGATAACTAAGAGCTGAACCAATCAACTGCTCTCCAAGTGGAGTATTCACTGTCAAGTTGGTTGTTGTTTCGCCTGCCAGATATGAAATTGGACTTTGCTTTAATTTCTTCAATTCTTTGATGTCATCTAAACTTATGTCAATATTCCTGAAAAAAAAATCACACTGTACATAATCATCAACAATAACAGCATTATATATTCCTAGTATTCTCGGTTTCATTGACATAGTTTGGAACACTTGCTCAGAATACTCAGGGATGCATGATTTTGCTTGATTATAAACTTAAGTATAATATGTTAATCAATTAGGTTGACAATATATTTTAAATACATTGGGAATGAAAATCACTTGGCTATTATCATCAATTTGTCATAAATTAAAGTGTGTTTTACTGTACATATTTTGTCAATACCCAATCCTTAAACAGTGATAGCCAAAATGCTATCATATATTACATCTTATGAAATTGAAAAAAAAAAATCATGCTTAGAATGACATTTACCTGGTATCAATATAGGATGCTATAACTGGCTTTCTTTTCCTGTCAAGATTTGTTGGACAGGAAATGATCATAGTGGAAACAGCTTCAGCTTTTATTTTATCACCACGGGGTTTATCCCATTGCTGGGGCAAACTGGTTGAGGAAATCTCTGAGGGTACCTCCTTGTACCCAGAGATCTTCCACTGCTCCAGTAAATTGATGACTGCCAATACATGGGCACATTGACCAGATATCCTACAACAGATAATTTTTTATTACTTCTATATGTTCAATAACTGAAAAATTCATATAAAGTTATTGTACTAAATGTAGATAAATAAAATCAAAGTATTACCACGGTAAGCTGGTGAAGTAACAAAACCTCGTGAATATACCTGAATTTAGGCTTTGTGACAGAAATGTGTAAATACTGTACATAATTTAAGCAACTTGTGTTGTCCTTTATGTTTTTTTTTAAAAATACATAGGTATATAATTATATACTTATACTTATATGTATATATGTAAGCCAATATACTAGTATTCCCTCAAATTTGCAATCACATTATACATACATTTAAGAATTTTCTCTCTCTCTCTCTTCACGGAAACGTATGTGGTCTCTCTCTCTCGTCTGAATTCAACAAAATACTGACCTGAATATCTTCACTCGGGTGATACTTTATGCCGACATTCTTTGAAGTTGCCAATTGCATACATAAACTTTGTTCGAAGAAGAAAATATAAACATAATGAAAACTGCATGATAATCAAAATTTCAAGACAAGAGGTTAATCAGAAAAAATGCAACTTAATATTTAACGTGTAAACACAACAAAAACGCAATAAAGTCACTGAACATAAATCGTTTAACTAGGCTTACCCTGCTTTACAACTGCAATGTGCGTCATTGAAGTTCTTTTCTTGTATATTTACATCAAGATCTACCCGATGTGGTTCGTCACTCTTTCGCTGACTCCGGTAAACTTTGGCTGTAATTTGTACACTATTGGCTGTTTCCCCCGAAAAAATCTTCACAGATTTTATGTACGAGTCTTTAACAAAGGCTATAGCCCTTTGTTTCTGTCTTAAAATTGGTGTATAATTCAGAAATGCCACTGAAAAATCGTCCGGAATGTCCTTCAGACAAACCTCGCTCGCCATATTGTTTACATTGAATGTCGGGCATTTCACTTCTTAGTTACCGTCGTCACGGTGGGCGGGGCTTATGCACGCGCCAATTGTTGGTGCTGGCACGAAAAAGATTCCTCCCTGCTCAATGGCCCTGAGTGCCGAATATAGGACAAAATTTGTAGCTCTCCACCTGCAAGTGTTGGCGTCTCCATATGAGTGAAAAATTCTCGAGAGGGACGTTAAACAATAAACATATGTACAATCAATCAATAAATAGCCAAAGTAGACAGTGCTTCAGAATCACCGACCGTACCGACAACAAATTATCCGAGTTTTGGCAAGACCGTCGGACTTTGGCGTCACCATCGGACTTTGGAGTCTAACATATGTAAATTGTATGCCGAAACGCACATGTTAACTAGATATCATTGAGATGGTGGCTATCTCAAAGGGCCCCGCTTTTAGCAATAAACATGAAAATGAAAGGTAGCTGAAAATGGTTTATTTTGAAGGTGTTTGAGATTAAAGGGGACAAAAAGTAAGTACTCCCTGAAAAATAATACAATTAAAAAACTTTAAGAAATGTATCCTCTATCAAAATATGGAAGGAAAATCACAAACGTTCCGTATCCAGTCAATTTGCTTGATGCTGAGTGGAATTCAGGGAAAGAACTTATGCACCAAAGAAAGACTTTAAACAGAGAGGCTATTTTCGACCTTGACCTAGAAACTTTGTTCAATGTCACTGCACATCCATTGACCACTGGCACTCTGTGAGTGAAGTATGAGACACATTGGACAAAGGCAAGAGAAGATATGCTCCGGACAAGGATTTCTCATGTAATTCTGTTATGACCTTAACCTTTGACCTAGTAACATGGTTCAAGGTCACTGCACACCCTTTACTTAAAGGCACTATGTGGGTGAAGTATGGGCCAGATTAGGTCAAGGTCAGAGAAAATATGCTCCAGACAAAAAATTAAACAGAAAGGATATTTTTGACTTTGGCCCTTGACCTAGAAACTTTGCCCAAGGTCATTGCACATTCATTGACCACCGGCACTCTGTGAGTGAAGCATGAGCCACATTGGACAAAGGGGAGAGAAGAATATGCTCCGAAGAAGGATTTTTCATACAATTCTGCTATGACCTTAACCTTGACCTAGAAAGATGGTTCAAGGTCACTGCACACCCTTTACCCAAAGGCACTATGTGGGTGAAGTATGAGCCTGATTGGGCCAAGGAGAGATATGCACCGGACAAAAGATCTCGGACGGACAGCCGGACGGACAGACTTGATCACTATAGGGTGCCCGCCAAGCAGGGCCCTAATTATATTAAACTGCAAGTAAGAGTCAGTGTATTATATTATTTTAATTAATCCACTTCTGTTCAATGCAGAGTAAATAACAACACACACATCAACAACATACATATAACATATTGTAACAGTAAAAGTAGTGAATTAAAGTAATAAGTTGTGAATTAATTCAAAATTACATGTAAATAAAGGTAATTTTGTTTGAACTTTTCTAGGGTAAAGTGATCGAGAGTCGGACGTGATCTGGAGTCGGACATTTTTGTGCCTTTGTTTTTTTAGTTCAGCAAGGAAAGCTAACTCCAAATATATATGTTAACCATAGGCCTTTGGATCACTTAAAAATTGAGTGTGTGAAAAAAAAGATCAAGGTATGGAACTCTTACACTGGGTACACCCAATTTCGCTAATAAAATTTCTTTTATCAAATGCTCTTAAATTTGACTTTCTACTTAAATCTATTCATAGATAATTAAAAAATCTTCATTTCTACCAAAGCTCATTCCGAAGTTCCATATTCTTCTCGAGATAGTCTGAAATCAATTTCAAAATTTACCTTTTTTTAAACACGAAATTAGCTTGGGCACCTGGTCATTCACATGTTAACAGAGTTTGTTTGAAGTGCAGTGAAGAGATGCATAAAGTATTTGCAAAATATTTCAACATGTTGAAGTTGATTTCTTACTCCAGATCGTAAGGTCAAGTTCGTAAGAATTCCTTAGGCGAAAAATAATTTGAAAACATTTACATTAACAACTGCACCGCTATGTTGATTATGAATGT